AAATTCTGTAAAACCCATGGTCAAAAAAATGCCCTGTGAGCCCGCTACTCTGCAAAAGTAGTTCACGGTGGGTTGATACAGTATTGTGGAACCCCCAACCACACGTCCACCCTCCTCTTTTATATACTCATGATAACCCGCATTGATGTGCACCCGGGTTTTCCTTTACAGGCCTAATGCATTTTACATCTCCAGGACGATCATAGTAGTGTTTGGATGCCGTGATGGGCGGTGGTAGTAGGTCCGGGGTAAATGTGGGGAACTGCGGAGAAAAAAGGTGCTATGGAACGACTGTCTTCTGCGGGGGGTGGGAATGTCGTATGAGATCCTAGCTAGAAATCAAGGTTGTGGTTGTGTTGGCGGACTGGGCGTTGTGCGGGGTTGCCGGATTGGGGAATGCCGTGTTGGAAGTAAGGAAGGTTCGTCGGCAATGCGGCGCCTATGTACGGTAGTCACATTTGCTTTTTTAAGCCATGAAGGGGTTGGAGTGATTTCTTATGACTCGCAGGTGGTTGCGTTGAGTATGTGGTATATGATCATTACAACGAGCATCTTGCAAAAGATGAGAGGAATTTTATGTGGCAGCAGCACTATAGGTAATAGTGTGTTCAGAACACCGGGAATGCGAAGTGGAGTCTCGCACAGAAGTGATGGAGAAATCGACTAAACTAAGCCCGAGCGAACAAGCGATCTTAGCGGGCATCTGCATGTGCTTGAGCCGTGTTCCTAAGGGCTGCTCTGTGCCTCGATTGTCCCAGATACTCGACCCACTAGATGCACGTGAACACGCGTATCAGCCTACTTCTCGTATTACTTGAAGGTTGATTTGATTTTTCATCACTGAATGTGAAACTCATGGTAGTATTGTAACGATGTTGTGGTGTTCAGCGGATACAATGTAGGTGAAGGCGGTTGCATAGCGAACCTCAGGGTTGTCGACGATTTAAACTGCACGATAAACTCAATACTAAGAGGGGGAAGAGTCATGCACGCATAAGCCTCCAACAGAATACACTACGATCCCCGAATATACTTTCGTTCTCCACCCCACCCGGGTCCGCTTAGTGCCTCTCCAATCTGACCCCAACTTCCGCGGGACCCCTCCATCTACTCCAACGCGTGTAACATCTCCCTAGTCGCACTCAGACTCTTACTGTCGCCGTAAATGGCGGCAATAAGGCTTCCATCGAGCTTTGGAAACTCGCGCTGGAGAATCTCGACGTTTTCGTCGTCATCGTCTTTCCTTCCTGCCGCTTCATAGCTCTGCATGACCTCGATCTGGTGAGAGCGATCTTGCCCTGTAGGGAGCGCCATTTCCGTGGCTGTGCGGCGGGGTGGCAGACCAGGTGGGACCTCTCCTTGAGTAGTATTCGGTGTTTGACCTTGATATGGTTGTTGTGGTGTGTCTTGTTGATAGTATGAGGGTTGAGAAGTCTCATGAGGGGTAGTCTGCGCGTAAGGGTTGTGAGATTGGGTCTGGCCGGTCTCTTGGGCCCACGGAGATGTATCATGCTGCTGAGGAGGGTGTTGTCCTAGCGGATTTGGTGGCATTTGTTGAGAGTATGGGTTGTGAGACTGATTTTGATAGGTTTGGTATGGGTTTTGGCTTTGGTAGCTTTGCTGCTGCTGACTGGGCTGGTCTTGCCATGGGTTGTCGTTATGCGAAGCCATATTTATGATGCTGCGGATTTGGAGGGTGGCCGGAGAGATCCTGGGATGCTACGAATACGTACGTCTCGGAGAAGTGGCTGTAAAAACTGGGTATCTTTGAGGCTGAGGGGGTGTTGACGAGTAGTGAAGGCGCAGTCGATGATGACGTATGACTGGTCTGTGCACGTGCCTCACAGCCCCGCTCCAGGCGTCGGCGTATAGAATATTGCTGACAGAGAATGGAGCCATCGTTTACAACATTCATAGATGTAGATTAACGCGTGATAATTCTCCGTAAATCGCATACAGATATCTTTGGTCAATTGTTGGTTAGAATAATCGGCTCTCGTCGCGTCTGGTGAGAATTGCATACTTGGCAACACTTTTATGCGAACAGGAACAAGGACAATGTGTCTAAATATCTACTGGAAAATATACAAGGCATCTCTTTGAAGTAATACTTTCACATGTGTCATGAAGGCCTAACCATTCCTATAGCAGTGACACATGACCTGAGGGAAGGACTCACAAAGTATAATAGAGGTTCCATTAATGAGAGTAACTGAAAATGAAATGAGATGGTTCAACAAACACAAAACTTGCAGCAGGACAAAAGCAAAGTTGGCGGTAGTAAAGGAACAATCCATAGAGCTATCACGAGCTAGTAGCAATCCCTGAAAAAATTGTCCCCCTCATTTTCCTTCTCGCGGTATTATTGTATATGGCATCACAGTCAGTTATAATCCAAGATCACAATGTGGGATAGACAATATTCTCCCAGCCTTCTTCATTCTGCTTTTTCCTTGTCCTCCTCAAACAAATATACAGCAGAAACTTCTCCCGTATTCCGGTAAATATATCAAGTAGACCGTTATTTGTTCCAGCAATTGCTTCCCAAAAAGCATTTTGATATGCTTGTTATTTGCTGACAACCGAGATGCCCCTCATTTTTCAACTGTCGACTGAATAGGTGAAAACTCGTCTTCCTGATAACATCTCAAGGGTGACTTTAGGGTCTCCAACCGATGTTTAGTTGTGATACATCTACGCGAGTGGTGACAAAGTAGCTACGCTAGAAACTATAGGGTACGTATTCTTGATTCTTCTTTCCTTTGGAAACAACATCGTTCATATAACTCTCGTTTCGTTTCTTAGTTTCTTCGCTTTAGAGAAAAGATTGCTGTTGGTAGTTGCGGCAATTAGAAGTTTGACAACAACTGTCTTGCACACAGAACAAATCAACACGTTTGTGCAACCACCTTGACTATACACAAACGCAGTTAGCAGTCCCACATGAATGGCGTAATAAGAATCGATAGATAGATAAATAGATGAATTGTTTCCTTTCTAAGTGTACACATCAACATTCCTATATATCCTGGGATGACACAATACCACACATATCTACGGGTAAGTTGGCTTCCAAAAGTATCACCCATACTTGGCAATCTTTCTGACGTCGAGATATGATATCCAGTTGGACATTGAGAAACTTGATCACGGCCCAACCCATCCAGATATTTCTGGATCGTATCAAGTACATCTTCATGAACTAAAAGAGGGTCACCACGGCATACTACAGCCACTGACGACCTATACGCTGACACAGATAAACCACATGACACGAAATATCATACGAGAATGTATACCTGAATGACCTCTCTCTCGGTATGCGATGGATACTCTACACTAAATAAGTCACAGACGGCACCAGCCAAAGGACCGCATGACTGAAACGAAGACTCAAAACTGTAGCCTCGTCCGGACCAATCCGACCCTTATGGGAGCCACGGTACAGATGGGAAAGTATATATGCAAGAACGGTCTGTACAACGAGACATGTTCATATGCAACCAGATACCGAGTCTACACAGAGTGTCATCAACAACCACATATCATCCGTCAGGTAAGCGCTCAAGATAGCAGCCATCTCCCCTTATCGAGATATACGCATCTGGCATATACTACAAATCAAGTGCCCGGTGCGATGTTTCAGTCACCTGAGCCGCCACACCTTCGATCACATCGAAGACATCGACGCCGTGCAAATTGACTCGTCTCCCGCTTCACCCACAATATCACAGCTACAAGCGCGTTGAGATTTCACGCACTCAAGTTCTATCCTCCGGACGGGAAACCCTAGCTCATCTCGATTCACGGAACCAGCGTCGAGGCCGAACGTCAAGCATATAGACTCACAGAACTCTTTCCATATACACTGACCCAACCAACACCAACATGACCCTTTTCTCCCATCCTTCCATGTATACACATTCTCCGGGAAAAAAACAAGGCCTTAGGAAGACATGCGAGCACCTGGCCGCCTCCACCAGCAACCGGCCGGACATACCCCGGTCATTCCATATACTACCCGATATGAAGAGCATACGGCTCGCAGCAGTGTATAGAGAAAACACAAGACGTAGACAACCACAACTCACGACAGTTCTACATGCCTGGATCCGCGACAGACTTCTTTTGTAATTTCTTCAGCAAGCCGTGCGTTGGAGGGTTGCGTCTGGTACGTCTTCGACGCGGATAACAATCCATCAAAAACGTGAAAACGGAGAAAGAAAGAATATGGGATTACGCGTGTGTGTAAGATGAGCGCGTCCGAACACTTAGATTGGAGACGAAGCAAGCGAGCAAGAATGAATGACGAGGGGAGGAGAACAAGGTTAACTGTGGAGGCAACGTGGGTGGGTCATGACACATGCTTGTGCGGAAGAAAACTGTAGGCGGGAGAGAGTGGGTATACAACTGGATATTGTGAGATGGAAAAGAATGGATCATACGAGGATGGATTGGGAGAACAAGAAGAGAGGGCATACAACTAGGGTCTGCGAAAGAAGAGGAACGAGTATACAGCTATGGATTGGGAGACAAGAGGAACGGATACGCGACTGGGGTGTGGGAGAAAAGGAAATAGGGTATACAACTATGATTTAGGGAACAGGAGGACATGATCACCAATTGGGGGAGGATTCGTGCCTGTATACTTACGTGAGATCTGGGCTCGGTGATGAAATGGATATGTGGGGGATGACGGTAGCTACGATCTCAATATAGATTTGTGGATTTGCTGGAGTTTGATATTTCTAGGGAGCTCTGGACTGGAGTTGGAGAATATGCACTATGTGCGGAGCATAGGATAAGAAAGAGCTGGAGGAGCTACTGGAAGAAGACAAGACGATTACTTCGTCTTCGAGGTCGTGGGCACCACCACACAAGCGCGTACCAAAGCAATGAATGTATCAGTATCATCAAACAAATATACCCTAGAACACGCAAAACCATCTAGTCCCACAATATGACCACTAACATCCATTGAACGCACGCATCTCCTACCCCTAATACCTCACACTCCCATAATCGCTCTCTGAAACCCCAGAAAACCTCCTTTCCGCACCAACAACCCCTCCATCGTAAGAGACCGTCGCGCCATCCCCATTCTCCCCACCATACCCCGTATATACGGAACCAAACCCGTCATATTTGTCTGACCCATACTCTGTGTAGCCCCCGCTCACACTGGACTGTGCAGCAGTTCCTATTACCATCTCCCCACTATACAGTGGCACGTTCCCATTGGAGAAAGCCCCTGCATCGCGCGCAACGCTGACAGAGCTTCGATGCGACGCCACAGACACTCTATCACACCCAGCCATGAGCGTCACGATGCGATTCGAGACGCCATCTGGATTCGTAGCGTCTTCCAGCTGGGCGTTAGCGACGCGGAGCTGCTTTGCTTTCTTCCTGGTGTCGTAGTAGAGTTTTGTGAGGCCGATAAGAAGGACGACGATTACGATTGCGGAGACGGCGCTTCCTGCGATGACAGCTGTGTTGGGCGTATTTTGGGGGATTGGTAGAATGGCTGCTGCGGGAGAGGAAGATGGAGTGGGCGATGGAGTTTCTTGGTTGGTGGAGGGTGTTGGTGCAGGTACGAAACTTGTTTCCGCAGAGATGGCCGAGCTGGTTGGGTCGGATGTCGTGCTTGGTTCCGTAGAGGTGCTAGTAGCACTGGCAAGTGTATTACTACCTGTTGTACTTGGGGGATAACGTTGTGATGAACTGGATTCACGCGGTCTTGTAAACGGGGTCCATTCCGCAGGAATGTCTGCTAGAGACTCTCCTATCTGCTTGCAACCGTCTTTGTACTGCTTTATAAATGCTATGTCGGACTCGAGTCAGTTTTCCATTCTTCAAACGCAGCAGTTGCAAACTCACCTCTCCTATCGCCGTCGCCTTTACACTCCTGGAACACACAATGCGCAGAGAAATAGTCGTTGTGGCCCAGAAACCGTGTTTTAGCGCAGACGCAGCGGAAGTAGCTCGACCCTAGAGCGGCGCTGTCGCAGCTAAGCTCCTCACTGTCAGGTGGTAATTTGTCTCTGGCAACTTGCTGGCATTTTTCAGATATCTGGCTGGGTTAGTTGGATTGTAGGTTTGAGAGCGCAAGAACATCTTACAAGACAAGGTACAGAGTCTGCTGCAGTCAAGGCTGCAGTAGTCGTAGCGGCGAGGCTTGGAAAAGAAGGAGAAGGAGAATTAGAGGTAACCACTGGAGGCGGGGTGTATTCACGCAGAATGTTGTTGGCTCTGATTTTCATGTTAAACTGCTGTATACTGTGGAGGCCTCAAATTCTCACTGAAATAGAAGAGTACTCCATGACCGACATGTTAGTCATAGACAGCAGCGTTGGATAGGTCAGAAGACGAAATTGAAGAGGGAGAGCCGATATCGCAGACGGATGTCGAGTGCGCCTTGGAAAGATGTGCCGCAGATTGCATTTACAAAGCCAGAGTACAGAATCAAACGGCAACGGAAAGTGAGGACAACATTCAAAGGGTATCAAAGGAGTGTCTATTATCCATTACGTAGGCGTCGTGCTGTGGTTTCTGCAGTCTCATAAAGCGTGTTGACGTGAATATTGGCAACTAAATTCATCGAGGAGGATAGTACACTGGCTCAAACGAGACAGTCTTGTTCAAGTTTCCGTACTCGGGCTTGGAACAAACGTCTGCAAGCAACTGTTTGTAGTCTAAAATGGCAAAGTCAGATGATGAGTCGCTCAGACTCGAGGGGTTTACATGGACGACTTACTGGCAACTGCGCCGAGAGTGCATGCCTTCTTGCCTGGCTTACCGTCGAGGCATGGCTGAACGGTTTTGACATATCTGTCGACATCGTCTTGCTCCAAGTTACATATGCAGATCAGGTTGCCAGGCGCGCAGCCATCAAAGTAGCCGTCGGTAAGACATTCGTTCTGTTGTTCGCCCTGATTAGCCCATAGCTCTGCGTGTGGGTGACATGCATCGTACCGCGCCGCACGTAGGCAGCTTGTTGGTGTAGTTTGTTGGCACCGACCAGACTGTGGGGAGGAGGGTCACAATGGCGACAATCGAACCGCTGATTATCATGTTGTTGGCTGGCGACGACGGAGTGGGTACGGTTGCGGAAGAGGTGGTGAGCTGGGTCGAGATGTCGATATGTAGAAATCACGAGAAGTGCAGCTGAGCGTCCAAGCGCAGACTAGACCAGCCTTCGACCAGACGACAGTGATTTCTGGGTGCAGATCGCTGCTTCTTTATTTGTTTGTGCATGGCGCAGACAAGGGTAGCGTTGTTTTCTAGGCTGGTGGATGGATTGCGTCCCACACACACAGGCACAGGTCACACGGCCGCTGATCTGCCCCGACGAAACACAGCGGGCGGGGGACAGATTCCAAACGCGCGGCGGCGTCAATGGCGCACCAAAGCCAGAACAAGCGTTGCTCACACAGGGTCAAGTCTGGAGCTGCAGCGCTGATGCGGCTGCAATTTGGTTTCCGCTGTGGGGTCCCCCGGGTGCCCCAAGCCAAGGGCAACCATGTCTATGCCGCATACCTGAGGCGACACGCCCTGTGGCTGGGCACAACCAGCCTAGTTTTACATAGAGAGGCTGACCTCCTGCTCTTGTAGCACATTCATGATGCAATGTAAATCACAATACCAGCAGCTTCGGAGCATCTTGCAAGTCGTATGATTATTAGACTACGTGATTGCCGCACGGCATCGTGTCGCGGATAGATTACCATCGGAACAAAACAAAGCCTCCAGTCTCCGCCCCTTCTTCCCAACGCCCCTGCGCATGCGTACAGCAATCACGCCCGTCATGCGCCCGGCATTTCTGGCCTGCCCGAGTACCTTGGGCCAGTCTGTTGCCTCACTCCAATACTCTTGTTCCTAGTGCTGAGCGCTCATGGCCGCAGGCCTAGAACAGGCAGTCCAAACAACAACAACACGCCAGACCCGCGCACAATCCAGCAAAGAGCCCGCCACCTCCACCATCATGCCTCCTATCATCCTGGTAATATCCACCTGGTGGAGGCGGTCCCTGTTGGTATTGCATCTGCTGCCCACCATACTGTCCTTGAGGAGGACCGTACTGGCCCTGTGGCGGACCGTACGGACCTGGTTGGCCTTGCTGGTAAGGGTTCGGGCTTCCGCCGTAGTAATCAGGGGCACCGCCACCTTGGTTGTAGTATGAGGGTTGCATGCCTCCAGGAGCAGGACCAGCGTCGTAGTGAACAGGCGCTGGGTTCTGAGGGTACTGAGGCGGTGCGCCTTGGTCCTGCTTCGCGTATTAGTATGGTGCGCTCATTATGCTAAACAGGAGTGGCGACGGCAGTGCGCGCCACAGTAGAGTGGAATGGCAACCACCATCGTTCAACCAAGGCTAAGGACACGTACATATGGTTTGGACATGCTGGCGGTTTGTGAGAGAAGTTGTCAAGTTTGTAGTGTAAGAGCGAGAGAGCCACCAGTTAAGAGGCAAATCTTAGAAGGAGGTCGCTGCACGCGTTCCGTGGCAAAGCTGGGCAATGTCTGGTCCGTCGTCGATCGGCTATCTGTATCACCTATGCTATCCCGGCCGGTGTTGTGGCGTCAAGGACAATGTCAATCGAAAGGAAATGAGGGAGCAATGTGTAGGTGTATAGAAGATGGATTAAAAACGAGCGACAATTCGGATAATAGGTGAACCTGAGTGCCGAGTTGATCACACATCAGTTGTCGCGGCGTACGAAGGAGGGTGGCTGAGCTTGCGTGGCGGATAATCTAAGCCACTTTTGTCATAGTGTGGACCGCATTCACCCTCGCAGCGCAAACCGACTCCGACCATCCAAGGCGCGTGGCACCCTGTCATGCGCCACGGTGCAGATACTCAACACCAATACGGTAATCTTTGCGTACACTACACGGGATGCACGGCGTCTTGTGCAAAAATACGCATCAACGTACCTGCAAAGCACGGATCTCCAGACAGTCACGAGAACGCGGCAAATCTCAACAGTCCGGGCGTACATTGAACGAAAACTAAGCTTACAAGCCGCTCAATACATAGACAATACAAGTCACAGTCACAAAACAACATGGGGCTATCTAGTAGCAGGCGCAAAGTATACAAACCTTGAATATCGAGTGTTTCGCATCGGGTTTGGGAAGGGCGTCGGGAAATAGCGGGAAGCTGAAATCGAACGTGGGGGGAATCGAAGAGGGAAAGTGAGGTTGGAAGACTTCGAGGTGCTACGGACCGACCGAATAGTGTACACGAGGCAAGGAACTCGAACCGCATCGATGTCGACCGATCGACCGAAACAAGGCGAGAAGACCGAACCGAATGGTAATCGCCGTGACCGTTCGCCAAAGAAGATCCGAATCGAGCTTTTTCGACTGCTGAATGCATTAATGTCGTGGCAGGACATAGACGTAACTCTAGCCTCCACTCGGAGAAACAAAACATGATCCCAAAAACCATTATCCGCTCAACAAAAACACTGTGCAGGTACCAATTTCGAGCACGCGCGTCAATACTAGCCTTGTGCACACGGCGGCAGTAATCCGGATACTGCCTGCTGGAGGGTTGCCAGCTCATGGCTTACTCAGCTACGTCCAGGTCGTCATGAGCCGCAGGCGGAGGAGATTCGACTGCAATGGTGATTAGACCGGGTTGTCGTCAAGGGCATCGGATGTCTCACTCTTTCGGGGTTCAGCAGGCGGCTCAGCCTCGCGTTCACGGTCGCGCCTCTCTTCGCGGTCGCCACGATCACGGTCGCCTCGGTCGTCCTCACGGTCGCGAACATCCTTCATCTCGCGGTCGCCGTCAATAGGGCTCCTTGATCGGTCACGGTCACGGCGGTCGTAGTCGCGTTCGCGGCGGTCATCCTTGCGAGGGGATGCACCGCGTTCGCGGCGTGGGGAAGTGCTGCGACGGCGTGGAGAGCGTACCCCACGGTCCGCACGATCACCGCGGTCAGAACGGTCGCCTCGGTCACCGCCACGCTCAGAGCGCTCACCACGGGGACGGTCACGTCCTGAGTCGAAGCGCCACGATGCCGAGGGAGGAGTACGTGCCCACTGTACCTCGTTAGATTCAATTGCGTCCGTAGTAGCCTCCTAAACATACCTCAATCTTCAACAAGTCGTCACGGCCGATGCGCTTGTTGTGCATCTCGTGGTACGCATCGTCCGCATCCCGGCGAGACTCGTATTCGACGAAGGCGAAGCTGCTGTTCTGTTAGAGCCTGGGAAGGTGGCTGGGGTGGAGGGCCAACTCACAGCCTAGACGAAGCCGAACGGGGAGCCGGAATGTCGCAACGGACAAGGCGACCATAGCTTGAATGTTGTCAGAATAGCTTCGGGAAGGCGCTTTATGCGTGATGAAACTTGGTGCAGGCGCTGCTTACGCGAGCAAGAAAGCGGGAGCGCGCGAGGGAGCAGTCGCAACAGCAGCGGGGCGTAGACAGCAAGGAGATGCAGAATCGATGGTTATGATGGAGGAGGAAGATGCGAGGGCGATCGAGTTGGGACGAGGCGTTGGGAGACATACCGTTCGAACTCGTAGGCAAGGTCGCGAGCGCGTGTTCCGTGGCCGAAGCCGGTGACGTAGAGCGTAGTGCCGCCGCCGCGAGACATGCTTGCTATATGGATATCGGTGTCGCGTATACGTCCAAGTGGTGCGAAGGCTGCGATTAAGAGGTGGGTGGTCGGCTTTGGGATATGTGGGTGTTGATGGAAGATTCTAAGGCGGACAAAAAGACCTGGAGGCAGTTGCAGCAAACGCTTGGGCAGGCGCTATGACCACATTCTTGGCAGCCTCACTCCGTCGACGTCAAGTTTTCCATCGAAGGAACGCCTCGTCATCAGACCCTTCCCATTGGCGCATTATTATTTGGAAGCACAACACATCCTTGTACCGCATTTGTGTCTTTGGTGACGGTCTTTTCCGTTCTCAGGTCGCGCATATAGGGAATTCCCGAAAAAGCAAATCACGCAATGTGACTCTGCACCTACATACACATGGGCATTTGTACATCTATCTGTAGAATATACACATACATTATACAATAAACTGTTGTACATGGACTAGGAAGGGAATTCCCCATATGGCGCTCCATCGAGTTTGAAGTAACCAGGCTGGAGTGTCTGGAAGACACCTGTAGGATCATAATTAGCCGCAATGTCTTGCAGCTTCTGCTTGTTGACTGCCCCATAACTCGCAATGACATCTTGGTATGGCGATGCATAGTTCATATAGAGGAAGTCACTGTAGAGCCCCTTCTTGTCTGCTTCAGCAACCAGACGCTCCATCAGGCTATTGGCGAATGTCATGATGCGTGTATTATCGGCAGCGTTTGTCCACATGATGGCAAGGTTGCTGATGCAAATGGGGCCGTCATCGGGATTGAGGCCCCGTGGATTGCCGCCATTCTGTTGCATTTTCCGCATAGCTGGAACAGTAATTGCTTGGAATGACAGCACGGGTAAGACGCCGGCGGCGTCTGCAATTGCCGGCAGCATGTCGAAGAAGATGTCAATGAAAGTCTTGAAGATATCCCTATCCACCTTGAAGGTGAAGTCCCAATACGTCTCCTGTATACCATCGGGAGTTCCTGCGCCAAGCTGATTCGCTAACTTTGACATGTTTGCAATAGAGGTCTGGTCAATGATTGCAGGAATGGCCTTCCATTCGTCGAAAACTGGAGGCCACGGGGTCGGGTCGGAATATTCAAGATCCGCTGCTGCAATCTTCATACCGTTCTGCAGCGCGAATGAGACAATTTGAGCCTGCTTGATATCTTTTTCGGCGTTGATCGCAAAGTTGTAGTAGGCTTCATACAGCTTGTCCCACTGGTCCTCGCTATGAGCGCGTTGTCCGCCCCACATTGGCCCCTGGAGGAACGTCCTTGTGTTGAACTGTGTAACGATACCAAAATTGTTGCCGCCGCCACGAAGAGCCCAGTAGAGATCAGGGAATTCATCAGCGCTTACAGTAACGACTTCACCCGACGCTGTTACTACTTCGAACGATTCAACGTTATCACAAGCCCATCCGTAGGCGTTGGAATAATGAGATATTCCTCCTCCAAGGATCAATCCAGAAACTCCGACCGAGGATATCTAATTGTTGTCAGACATTCGGGGTCTTTTCAATGAAATCAAGACGGGTAAGACCCTGAAAAGGCATTTGGAAACATACCCTACCACCAATGACTTCTCGTCCATACTGCTCGATCCATGGGTATATATCTCCCCAAGTATTACCTGGCCCAATGGAAGCTACACTGCGATCTGGCGACAAGGACTTTTGATTGAGCTTCTCAAGTGCAATTGTGATGCCGCCTTCAATACTCGACCCTCCAGCGAACGCAGCATGTCCTCCTCCCTTCACTGCAAAAGGACATTGGGTGAATCGAGATAACAAGACGACGGCTGCTACATGTGAAGCATTGCTAGGTTTGAATATGCAAAAGGGTTTGACTGCGGCTTGCTGCGCCGCCCAGTAATCGCCCGTAAAGTTGCTGTATGCCGAGCTTCCCTGCGCGAGCACACTGTTGTTGCCGAAAGTGCTTTCAAGAGTGGAACACTAGGCATGTATACCATTAGCTCATGATCTAAGCTAGCTATGATGATCGCCTAAGCACACTCACAGCTATTGAGCAGGCGGCGGGCGAAGATGCGTCGACTAGCTCTGCCAGACCAGGAATAGCCGTGACATTGATTCCTTTGTCTAGGAGCGCCTTGGCTACATCAAAGTTTGGGGGCTCGAAGCCGCTTGTCAGCACGCCTGCTATTATAGACAGACCCGGAAAGGCCGCGGGAAGAGAGAGTCTCATAATTGAGGTAGGCGGGTCCGGGGTAGGTACCGAGAGTCCGGGTCAGAAACTAAGTAAGACACAGGAAGCCGCCTGGTTAATATACTTTTGGCCATCTTGTCCGTAAGTACATAAGTACATTGTCAGAAGCGTACTCGCCCGACGGGAACATGATTGCCGTGCCGGGGCATGATGGAGAAGTCGGCCGGTGCATTCGCGAATAGCACCGCGCGGGTTTGGTAGTGTTCAGACTAGAGGCTACCACCCTATCAATAATAATGCCGTGTCAAAACGCCACCGACTACAAACAACGGGGGGTTTCCTTCAACGATACGACAACCCCAAGGTGGCGTGTGCAGGTGGATATTAGAGCAGCCATGCCGAACCACTCTGCATGTTCGCCATCAGGACGTTTGCCCGAAACGTTAACGCCACTGCACCGGCTAGACGCCTTCGCTCCAATGACAGCTGGGCGCACGTACCTACTCTTTATCGTATTGGCAGAGTACACAATATGGTCGTGCTGAGCAAGCCAACAATCAGCGAACAGATGGGCCTAGTCCCGCTGTGGCTTGCTTCGCCGAACGTAAATGGTGAGCGTTTCTGGGTGCGTACCACACTCTAAGTATATCTAGCAGGAGGCAACACTAAAAAACACGACAAGTAGGGGTATTACGATCGACGAATTGCAGTGGTCTTGAGAACAACACGGGTCTAGAGCCTCGTGCAGTTCCCTCCACCAAGACCTGCCGGAAGACATACCATGTCGCAAAAAGGAACGAAATGCGCGAGCACAGGCGCTAAAGTTTTTTTAAGGCGTCCTGACGGGCAGCCGCCCTGGTGCGCACCAGCCCATAGAGTAATAAACCCCGTAGTGAACGTGCATCCTACACATATTGTAACGTCTTGCGCGCGCAGGCTGAGTACGCTGCGCTTGACCGTGGGAGCGCTCAGCGAAGTGGTGGACGAACGGGTGAAGTTGAACAAATCCAGGGGCGCGGCCCCAACTACCAGCCCTGCGGATATCGTCAATCGGCTTTCTTCCAGTTCTCCTTTCGGCAGACACGTGCATGGCCCCATGCACTGGATTCCATGCGTCTTACAGGCCTGCGGATCCCTCCGAAAGCTACATATGGGCCCTGTTCGAGCTACGACTGGGTTAGCAGTATTGTTTGTAAAGTGGCTGCCCTCAGGGCTTTGTATCTGCAATCCTAACCTCCGCGGCCATCTTCGACCGATTACTCGCGCTGAACCGCTTCCCCGCGCCACATCACCAGACAACAGAAGCATGCCGCATGCGCTCTAGAGATTTTTGTACTTGTTGTGATCTTTAGGGCCGGGCCCACACCCGACCCCCTTTGAGTCTGTACCCACCATGTCGACGGGTACGGATTGGATCTCGCAACATGACCTCCTCCGGAGCGACTATGCCATGCTCGGCACCACCTCGACTGTTTTTGCAATACGTGTTGCGGTCCAGATATGGCGAAGAAGGCCGATTGAAGCGCAAGACGTCTTGCTTGGAATTGCTTTCCTGGCCTACCTTGCCTTTACCATTCTCTACATAGTGATTACGCCCACCTTTTTCAAACTTCAAGCGCTGGCAGCAGGCCAGATTGTGCCATGGCCAACGATGGCGACAGATCTCAAGTTTACGTCTGAAGTCATGTGGCAAAGTGGAATGGAGTATTGGACATGTCTTTGGTTTGTCAAATTTTCACTGTTGGCGCTCTATAAGAAGCTGCTCGCCGGGATGCCAAGGACATACCTATGGGTATGGTGGGGAATATTGGTGTTTTGCATTGTGGTGAGTAGGACTTCAATGCCAAAGCTATAGTGCGAGCATGGCTGACATTGGTTCAGACTTGGGCAACCTGTATTATAACAGGTCCAGGCCTGGCGTGTAACGACACCAAGGCATTCTTTGAAGAAGGCAAACAGTGCCTATCGCTTGGAGAGACGCGGCGTCAGACAGCAAACCTTTACTACGCATATGCAGTCGACACATTGACCAATCTCACGGGTATGTTGTCGAGTTTCCCAACTTCTGTTCTGGTCGAGTATGCACACTGACGCATCTCGAAGTCATGTTCCTGCCGATAAGACTCATCTGGAATCTCCAGATGGAGAAAGCGAAGAAGATTGGATGTGGACTCCTCTTCGCTTCTGGTTTTGTTTGTATACTCTTTTCGACTATTCGCATTGTTCAGGTTGGCCAGGATGGGAAGCCAAAGTCACCAGATCCGAAATGGCTTACCCTATGGACAATTGTGGAGTGCTCCACAGGTGAGGACTGCTTCTTGCCTTGTCTAAAACCATACTGATGCTTCACCAGCTGTGATGATTGGCTGCTGCCCAATGCTTGCGTCGGTCGTACCAAAGAGCTGGTCTCGTCCTTCGGGCCGGGCGTCGTTCAACGCAGAAGGCTACGGCGAGCAGTCGCCTAACGGATCAGACGAGACTGGATCAAAAAGTCAACGTCTTCGTAATATGCACAGCTCCAAGAGTCGGAAAAAGCGCAGTGAAAAGTCTTCGCAGCAAGTCAGCGTAGCCACTCAAGATGAGCTCCCGGAACGCCGAACCGGAGGTACCGGTATCAGGGTCACAGATGAGATGCGTGAACAGCACATGCGACGAATGGAAGAGAGCCAGCGCATGGAGGAAGGGCGCTCAAAAGGCCAGCCACAGGACGTGTGAGTAGGTTTGTAGCTGCCAGTAATTAATTCCAAAAATAAGGATAATTTTCAAAGTCACTGCATGTGAACGTGTGAGTGGATACATCGTTCAAGGATAGTAATACCGACGTTATCACTCGCCCCTGGTGACTGACAGCAAGGGCTGACATGAGGTCGGACTTCGGTATGCTGGCCACCATCGTGATATATGCCCGTGTGGTAAATGTACGCGACATTGGTACCTGATACGTAGTGTTATGTATTTCGGAGGCATATGCACATATATCGATATGAAGTCATCAAGTGGCGAGTGGAGTATGTAATGTGTAAGCAGCGTTGACAGCAACGAAGATTCTGGGGTGACTGACGCGCTGCACAATAGCCAGACGCTAGTAGCCGGGCGGCAAATGCCGAGCTCGACTGCGCAGAACTTGACCGCAAACGCTCCCAAACATTTACTCTCATCCCCACACCACCAAGCCCCTAGCCTGCACTTCACGCGCAATTCCTCTTGACGACTGACGACGCTTTTGTAACGACCATCTCACAAGCCCCCAGCGCGAGCTATCGGCGAAGAAAGTCGCGTCGTTTCATTCGTCGCACCCTCTGTTTTCCGCCGCCGCGCAACGTCAAATCTACGCGACAGCCTTCTTTCCATCACCACTCGCGTCCTCCACCATGGCCGCCGACTTTACGACCGACTCGCCGCTGGCGATGCAACTGCAGCAGGTCGTCCAGCCCAAGCTCGCCGAGTTTGGATGGACAACGGGCGGCGACGACACAACACTCTTTGAGTACATTCTGCTGATGCTGGCCAACGATAAGAATGAAGCGCAGGTCGCCGCCGAACTATCGAATGACCTGCTAGATCTGGGCCCGGAGAACACAGAGACACAGCAGTTTGCGCAGTGGTTATTCGAGCAAATCGATTATCTCCGACAGTCGAGCAGCGGCAATGGACAGGTTGCGCAGTCGATCGAGAGCCAAATGGACAGCACACCCAACGAACACGTAGCTGCTGGCCAAGATACAGATATGGAAGGCGTGTCAGAGGGACAAGGCACAATGTATGTACACACGTCACAACGAGCTATTGATGCAACTAACAGTCATCAGTCCTACAGGCCCCAAGGCGATGCGCAACGGCAGCGGAGCCCAGGCAGGACGCCCAGCACGCGGCGGCCGCATGCTCAACCAGCTTAACAAAAACATGGACCGCAACAACGATTTAGCCCTGCATCGCGTGCGTGGCGCCGGTGGTGGTGTTGGACGAGTAAACGCACATGCCCGCGATCCGCCAAAGGGGCCACGAGGTCAGAACATTGGCCGTGGTCTCGAAGCGATGGCAAACGGTCGAGGCATGGGCAATGCCAACGTCAACATGGGCCAGAACAACATGAACGGTATGCCCATGGGCGGAATGCCGGGTATGCCCATGAACCCAATGGGCGGTCAGAACAACATGAACGGCATCGGATTGAACCCGCAACAACAGATGGCCCTCATGCAAATGTACGAGCAACAGGCGCAGATGATGCAGCAGATATTCTCGGGTGGCGCTCCGACAGCTTTTGTCAACCCCAACTTTAACCAGAATAACCGCAATGGATCCAAGAAGCCGTTACACCAACGCATGGACCGGGGCGGCAGGGGCATGAATCCAAACGCTAAGCCCTTTAAGAAAGACGGTGAGGATGAGACTATGGCGGACGGTCCCTCCGGAGAGAATGGCAGCGGCATGGACGTTGAAATGCCCTCAGGACGCCCAGAGCCATCATCAACCATGTGTAAATTCAACTTGCGATGCACAAACCCCGACTGCCCGTTTGTCCATCAGTCTCCCGCTGCCATGCCGGGCATTACTGTCGACATGAATGATACTTGCGACTACGGAGCGGCTTGCAAGAACAAAAAGTGTGTTGGCAAGCACCCCTCGCCCGCACAAAGACAAAAGTACCAGTCGGAGCAGGAGTGCGCTTTCTGGCCCAACTGTCGCGATCCCTCATCATGCCCTTATAAGCATCCAACGGCGAAACCGTGTCACAACGGTGCTGACTGCACAATTGAGGGCTGCAAGTACGGCCACAGTTCGATTATGTGTAAGTTTAACCCTTGCCTGAACCCCCGTTGTCTGTACAAGCATGAGCCGGGTCAAAAGAAGAACACAACGAATGTGTGGGTGGCGCCCAAGGAAGGCGAGCACGTGAGCGAGAGGAAGTTTGTGGACGATGAGCAAAAGGAGGAGCTCATCCTGCCCAACAAGGATCAGGACATGAACCAGGGACACGCACAAGCGAGTGAGAGTGTCAATGTACAATCATAGATTGGCATGAACATGAGTATGTAAATGAGTTGAGTTGTGGTGGGACATGATACCATAGGAAGCAGGTGGATGTTCGGGGAGAGATTTGTACAATAAGCCTTGCAAATGGCTGGATGAGGCATTACGGTTGACGGCGCTGCCGTGAATTTGTGGGAGAAAGGCCTTTGTTTTTGCCCAAAATGGAAGCTGGTTTTGTGCGGCTATGAATGGCTGCAATCTTTCTTATTACCTGTCTTGTCTGATCCGCCTACTTGCATCTTAACTGTTGCTTTCGTGACCTGAACCGATATCAACGGCACCTGTTCTTTCGCCTACATTAACCCCGAAACCACCGGGGGTTGTCGAGAATCAATGACGGCAGCAGGCGGTCAAAGCTTCTGGCATTTTGGCGAAAACCCGCCCCAAAGTCCCCGACCCCGGGCGGCGGGACTGCAAAGAAAGAACGAACGGATTATATGTAACACGTAAACATACACATATGGCTCACAACATTCCGGTCGCTTGAAATCCCTCTTTTTTTCGCTCTCCCCCCCGCTCTGCGACCAATTGACCGGCAATGCGGTTCCAGAATGTCTCGCCGAAGACGCTGAAGACTGTTGCTGCACGCCCTGTGCTCGCATCGCCAACATCACGGCTACTATCATCATCCCACTTGCACCCGCGCACCCGCCCGCTGCTTGCTTCATCCACCCTACTCCTTTCCCAGCAATGCCGCTCGCAATCTTCATATCCTGAGCGCATTGCTGTGCTGGGTGGTGGCATTGGCGGTCTTTGCAGCGCCTACTTTCTCTCAAAGGAGTTTCCGCACAGCAAGGTTACGCTATTTGAGGCGGGGAAGGAGACGGGTGGGTGGATTCAGAGTCGGCGGGTGCAAGTGCAGGGCCAGGATGGAAAGTCTGGTAGTGTGCTTTTTGAATTGGGGCCGAGGGCGCTGAGGAATGCAATTGTTACTGCGGGTTTGGTGCGTGTTCTTTTTTTAAATGGCTTTTGGGACAAGAGAGTCTTTCTCTCTCTCTCACTCTTGCTCAATTCCTCACTATCTGTGGTAATTGTTCATATGCTGACTTGGTGGTATTTTGTGTTGTAGTTTCAGGATCTCGGTCTCGTCAACGATGTTACGTATACGAAGAAAAGTGAGCCTGGAGCGAAGAATCGGTTTATATATTATCCTGATCAGCTAAATCGGCTTCCTTCCGAACGACCCTCGTTTGCGGATTTTGTTTCGCTGTGGCGGACGGGAATACTGAGTGGTGCGATGGGTATGGTTACTGAGCCGATGAGGCCAAAGAGACCGGATTCCATGACGGACGAGACTGTGGGATCTTTCCTTGCCCGGAGAGTTGACAAGAGGATAGCGGATAATCTTGTCTCGGCTGTATTCCATGGCATATACGCGGGCGATATCTGGCAACTCAGTGCAAAATCACTGCTCAGTCTAGCCTGGCAATTGGAAGGACGATATGGAAATGCGCTAGGAGGTTTCTTCCGCATGCAGAATGAAGACCCGCGGCCGGAACAGCTTACACTTGTTCACCCCCTGGATCTGGAAACAACACGAGCGATGAATGAGGAGATTGATCTAGAAATCGACTTTGCGAGAAACCTACAGGAGACGAGCATGTTCACATTAAGGAACGGCCTACAGCAGTTGGTCAAGGCGTTACAGGACGCTGTAGAAGCAAGGGGCAATGTCGAAATCAAGACCGAATCACCTGTGCAATCCTTCAAGCCACTTTCCAAAGACGGCCAACCAGGCATAGAAATTGTTTCTGGCGTATGTTCTCCTTCCACTTTTATCAAGACCTCCCCAACATCACTAACACCACATTCAGAACGAAGGCTCAACAACAACCTCGACCTTCGACACCGCCATCTCGACCCTCAGCAACCAAGACCTCACCCCCTCGACCACCGTCATGACCATCAACCTCTTCTTCCCCTCCACCTCCCTCCTCCCCGTCGAAGGCTTCGGCTACCTAATCCCGCAATCCGTCCCGTTTACCCAAAACCCGGAGCGCGCGCTCGGCGTAATCTTCGACTCGTCAGCCATCAAAGGTCAAGACACCGCCTCGGGCACCAAACTCACCGTCATGCTCGGCGGCCACTGGTGGGACGGCTGGACCGAGTACCCTTCGGAAGAAGAAGGACTGGAAATGGCACGAAGCGTTATTAAGAGGCACCTTGGCATAGATGCGGAGCCAACAGCCCACATTGCAAATCTCGCACGCAATTGCATTCCGCAGTATACGCTGGGATATAGCGAGCGCATGAAGGATTTCGCACAGGGCATCTCGTCTGAATTTAAAGGGCGGCTCAGGGTGGTAGGGAGTCAGTTTGGGGGCGTGGGGGTCAACGATGTTATTGCTGGCGCGTGGAAGGTCGCCAGGGGGATGAGGGGCGAGGGGTGGAAGAGTAGCAGTTGTGGGCTGGATCGGGTGGTGGATGAGAGGGAGTGGGTGGTTGTGCCGTCGAGTGAGTTGACGTATGTGAAGAAGGAGGGGGTGAGGGTCGGGAGCAATGGCATGGGGAATAGGGGCGAGGGCGGGGTGTGAGGGGCGAGGTTGGTGAGGGGTTTCTTTTTGTGTGTATGTATGTATATATATAGTCTGCAGTGATGAAAAGAATAGTGAACTTTCAAGTCTGACATGATGTCTTCTACTAGTATATTTAGGGTCAATAGATGTTTCTCTGTTTTCTATAGAGAGTCCTTTACCTCGTTCTGTAGCGTTGAGATGGGCTAGCTCACAGCCGTGTCCTGGTCATTGCTTCAGTGGGTTCACATTTGTTTCACGTCTAGTATACCAGCTTCTTGTTTATCAGAAAAGAATCAGAGGTTGCATTCCGACCTGCCAGTATCGGGTAATTATTGTCACCATTGCATCGATGAGCACGTGAGTCGTACTACCTCGCATGGTTGAATATCGGTTGTCAGACACATGCACTCAATCTACCAGGCAATTCAGCACGGCTTTGCCTCCATCCTTTTTTTTCCTTTTATCCGTTTGTTTCTGTGCTCTCCCTCTTTTTCCACACTCACCTTGGTATCCAGTATGTGACACTTGGAAACTACAAACTACACCCCGGTTTCCCCACGTCCTTGTCACTTCTTAGTGTCTCCTCGTAAAAAAAAGGAAGAAATAGAGACAAAGATAAGGGGGCACTGGTTAGTCACACTCTTGACCTAGCCACACTCCTGACCGCCTGCTTCCCCGTTGACCTTTCCCAACGGACCAGAACAAAAAAACTGACGGTTAATGACATGCAGCACAAAATATCCCAAGAATACGAGGCAAACATTTATCCAGGATCGGGAAAAAAAAAAGGGAGGAGAGAGGGAGGGTGGTTACAGTGATGTGCGGGAATTGCAAAAAAAAAAACAAGCTATTGGGCCATGGAGTCAAGTGGGCGGGAAGAAAAAAAAGCCAAGACCAGAGTACGAGGGCCGGATGTCACCCGTCGAAAGGTGTTGTGCAGCGGAAAAGTGCAGATCTTGCGCCTAAAGCAGGAGGGGGAGTCCATGACACAGGATCGTTGCCAAGACGAGTAGATCAGCTTGGCAGGTTGTTTCCGCGCAAACTGTACACCGGTCGGGAGTAAGACAGGTCCCGAAAAGGCAATCGGGAGTGTGACGGGAGAGGGGGGCTAGTAGCTTGAGTTTGTTGGCATTGGAGTCTTGTTGGTGACAAGCCCGGATCCCGCGGTGATGAAGAGGTAGGGCGTCTTGGCGAGTGGTGTCTAGTGGTTGATGTATGTGCGTGGGCGTGTGGTGTAGTGGTAGTAACCTCTTGGCTCAAGTGCTTTGGTGTGTTGAGCTCTTTAGAGTTTCTTAGGTTACATTGCTGCAGGTGTGGCGTAGGGCGCGAGAGATGGAGACATGACTATGACGGTGGATGTCAATCATCTCATCTCGGACAGGCTTGGAGAGTGTGATGATCAAGCCAAGCAAGATGTGCCCTGCATGGAGAAATTGATGGGAATTACAAAACCGGTGAGTCATGATTGAGCCTAGGTATACACATGCATAGGATATCCATGTCGTCGAGATTAGCGAAAGAAGCAAAGGCGGCTAATTGTTGACTGTTGAATGCCAAGCGCGGAAACCGAGTTCCCCCAGCGTGCCAAGGGGATTACAGTAAAAGCAATTTACGTTTACATTGGTGGAAACTGCCAAGGCGAGAGCGATGCAGAAAGATGCAAAATCGGTGGGAAGAGTGGATTTAGGCGAATGACTGGAGCTTGTACCACGTGCGGTGTTTTGTTAGATTGTTACTCTATCGGGATCGGTGTGGGTGGGCTGTAGGTCTGTGCCTAGGTGCAGGGCGCAAACAGGTTAGAAGTGTACCCGAAGTTGACAGCGTGCGTGGAGGCGAAGGAATTGGTGTGATGATTTCCCGTCGATCTCGCCAAACCCCATGGGCTGAGAATCCGGGGCTCGCAGGCGAGGCAAATGCAAAGGCTGCGGTCAGAAGAAGCAGCAAGGCACTACTGCAGGTGCAGCGTGTGTGTGTGCGTGCGTGCGTGCGCGGGTGGGGAAGCGAGAGAGGAGGAAGCCAGTCGGTTGACTACAAGTCTGTGTGAAACTCACCGCTCTGAGGGCGGGATACCCAATGAACAAGTAGGGTGAGAGGCGGAGAGAGAGAGAGGGAGAGAGGGGGGGGGGGGGGGGGGAGGGGGGGGGGGGGGGGGGGGGATGAGTAAGAGTGAGGCGCGACATGTCGGATGGGTTCGTGGACGCGTGGGGGTGGAGGCGGGGGCGGTGTTGACACGAATGCTTTTCAAAGCAAAAGCCGATGCAGTGCAGTGCATATGCTTGTCATCGGGAGCCGTGTCAGGACTACACGTACAGGCGGACGGGGGCTGCAGGAGATGAGGCCGACCCCGCTATTATGATGAGGGCGCGGGCAATCAAGCAGCGAGAGCGTGCGTGCGCACAAGTTGGGGGGGTAAGGAGCACTATGGAGTGTGCCGATGACGACAGTAGTGTGGGCAGCGTGGTCATCAGAGCGAGCAGTTGACCACGACGGTGGGGGAATGGGCTTATTGTTGTTATTATTGTTCTCGTTTACTCGTTTACATTTGTGGCTACTTGGCCCGTCGTCGTATGAGGAGGTCAAGGACCGTGCAAGCTTTTGGACAAGACAGACGACAAGGCCGCAGACGGCAGACAGCATGGCGTTATGGGCAGCCACGACGCCTCCGTGTCCATGTGTGCTTGGGTGGCTGTGTATATATATGTGTGTGTGTGTGCTATGTACAGTTCTACCTACATACGCAGGCGTGTATATATGTACTTATAGTACATCCATCCATGCGGCCACACATGGGCGGAGAGACGGGTTCGCGAGGACAGCGAATGGCGGTTGGGCGGAAGCAGGGGGCCTGAGCATAGGGCCTTAGCACCGGCCCTTAGCCCGCCAGGCCAATACATGAGTGCGTAAGTAGACTACACTCGACGCGACCATGTCCACACTACCTCGCTACCTACGTATGTCCGCATGTACTTACCTACTATCTCGACATGGTACGGCGATGCGAAGCACGCTGCTGACGCCCGCCACGGCCTAGCCCAGCCCCGGCCGACACACATCCAGAGTGCCATGTCGTGCGGCATTTTTGCAGTGACCGCGTCCCGCCCTGCCAGTCAGCGACAAAGGCAGTATCGACAGCCAGCCAGCCAGCCAGCCAGCCAACCAGCCAGCCATCCCTACTGGCCGTGCCGACAGCGAGCCCCGTCCGTCGTGAATCCGTCTCGTGGCACGCATGGATGACGGATGCCACAGGTGACGCAGCTTGGGAGCGGCGACCAGAGGGCCCGCCGTGAGGGTGCTGAGCAAGGGCGCCAGCTGGGGGTGTCGCAAGAGGTGCATGCGGCGTGCAGCTGGGGGGTGGGGGTTTGGCGGCGGCGGCGGCGGAGGCGGCGGGGCGGGCG